AAAGTAGCTGGTCTTACTGTGAAACCTGCTAAATGTCACCTCGGGTGCTGCGAGGTGTCTTACCTTCGACTCGTTGTGGGGTGAGGTCGGCGTAGACTTTCAGAAATTAAGATAGCCACTGTCGCGAGCTACCCACGACCAACAACAAAACCTTAAATGAGGGCATTCTTGGGCCTAGCTGGATGCTATCAGCATTACGTGCAAAACTACTCTAGCATTGCCAGCCCTCTAACTAACGCACTTTGAAAGTCCGCGCCGATTAAAGTAGTATGGGACTCAGAAACGGAGAAAGTGTTTTGCAAGCTGAAACAGGCCCTAAGCAAAAAGCCCATTCTCATAGCACCCGATGTCTCTAAGAGATTTGTCATTGAATGCGACGCGAGTGTTCACAACATGGGAGCTATATTGTGTCAGGAGGACAGTGCTGGTAACGAAAAACCAGTTTTGTATTTAGGTCAAAAACTCAGCTGCATGAAAGATGCATACAGTACTTCTGGAAAAGAATGCGCTTGCCTCGTGTGGGCGGTTCAAGAGCTAGGCCGTTATGTCTCCGGTTCAGCGTTTGTGGTGAAACGAACCACTGTTCTCTAACCTGGTTAAATAACATGTCACCTAAAAGGGGCTAGTTAATGATGTGTAGCATTATACTCCAACAGCACAACTTTGACGTTCGCTACAAAAAAAGGAAAGCTAAACGCTAATAGAGAAGCATTGAGCCATGCGTCTTAATTAGTACCTTCTCCACCTGTCCGTCTCTCACTGATGGTTCGGGGCAAAATTTTGTCCTCATTACGGCCTTAGTTGAGCGCTCTCGTCTAGAGTGATTTCGAGGGGCCAACTTTATGTTGTATTGTCTTTCATTACGTTGTTGTACGTGTAAAAATTCGAGTTCTCATTTGAAGAGTCTTGTGTCCCACGTGTGCCTCTTGATGTTAAGGGAAAGTAATTGTGATAAACACCTGGCTAGGTATATGTTGTACTATACTTTGTCTGGTCTTCTGTCGGCTAAGCGAGGCACTTGCTTGTGTCGTCTGTTGTCTGTTGTCGAACCATTCTTGAGAAGTTCCAGAACCATCGGCAAGTGCTGAGACCGAAATCATCAGAAGAGACGAGAGAAGCTAGCCGACAAGTTGTGGCGACAAGCCTGTGGAACTGGGATCCGTCCTCAAGAATGAGATGTGTTCATGGAACTGAGCCTAGAGCTACATTCTCCCCATAGCTCAAAAGGCGAACCTCGAGAACCCTGGCGAACGAGCGCGCCTGAAATTCGAGCCACGTGAAAGCAGCTCGTCTTTCCGGCGCATGTCTGATGGCGGGGATGCTGTTGCGCGTGGGAGTCCACACCGAACTTCAATGCCTCTGCAGAGCCATTCTGTGTCAAGGCCAGCGATCGAGCCCACCTGACGCGATCAACTTAACGACGTCATCACGCGGTGGAACCAGTCTGTCTTAGGCAATGCACACAGAGTTCCTCAGCCCACGAGCCCGATGAAGCAATCGGCACCTTCCAGTCTAGCGAGTCTTACGAAATGCGCGGCAACATCACTCGTCCTTGGGTGCAACCTCGTGCAGCGGCTCCGGATTTGATGATCAACGGAGCCCAGTGGCGGGTCCCCATCGGAGCATTCTGGCATCATGGCCAGTGGCGCTTCTGGTTGAACGTTGGTGACGCAAAGATCGACCCGGTGCCTACAAAAAAAAAACCAAGCGGCACATCACCAGCAGTTGACCTATGAGTCAGAGAGAAGCTGACGTGTGCGTCAGAGAAGACATCTCGTTGCTTTGAGCACTTTAGCTGTCGGCGCTGCCGGTGTCCTTGTAAGTGGCGAGTTTCGTGGCACCCTTTGCAACCTCGTCGGCGGTGTGCCTTCGTAACACTACCTTTCCTCGAAGAAGAATTCAGGGCGGTGGCACTGTTAAAGTTTTCGGTAAGAGTCTCCATGAAAAGCTTTATGCCGTGACCAACTGTAAATTTGGTTTTGAGCAGCCGAGGTGTGCACGTGGCGTAGTAGTAGGCGCATTCAATCGATAGCCGTGGCATCAATAGTCCTATTTACCAGTTGCAAAGCTCACAGAAAGTTTGTTTCTTGATATCTTAGTCACCTACCTGCCGAATAATTTGTGAGCGTGAACTCCTTAACTAGATTGATGTCAGTAATGACCTTTTTTTTAACCCGAAGCGTTGAGCGTCATGCTTTTCTCTTGAGAACATGTTTTAACGAGCGCTTGCTGGCCAAAAAAAAAACTCAGTTGCAGTGTAGAATGGTTATGTACTTCTAGCCGAAATGTTGCCTGTCTTGGTTACGTTTTAGGGCTTGATAAAGGGCATGCGCGAAAATATTTGCTTTTCACAAGGGTTTTACACTCCGCACCTCAGAAAAGAAACATGAAAATAAAAATGACTGACGAGATGTACTTCAACTGGTATAGCTCATGACAGCAAAGATGAAGCGCCCGAGCAACACACGAGGACAGATAGTGCTCTGTTCTCTTGTGCCAATTTGCACGGCTATTTTTTCTTTACCCTAATCCGCTCTACAATGTTCAAGCAGCTGTTACAAAAATCGAGCTCCTCAGTCTTCTACATTTGCTGAATGGATAGCTATTTCGATGATATGCCTGAGCATCTCGTGAACGCCAAATCCTGCATAGCGCCTAAACGCCGCATGCGCACAGAGTACAGAAGTAGACTTTTTTTACATATTAACATGATACATATATGAACTATGTTTATCAGGATTGAAAAAATAACAATGCAGATATTAGAGGGTAATTTCGTCATATGTCGAACGTCCTTTGCAGGTAAAGTATCACCTTCGAGAACCTGGGAAACTACAGGGTTTGCCGCTGACTTCAATCCAAGTGCCAGCTTAAATAATCCACACGCCATTAGAATATTATGAGCGCCAAGCTACTTTTTTTCTGTGCCAAACATTCATTCCAAGTGCCAACATATTTAATCCAAGCGCCAACTCGGTTAGGCCGCGTGCCAGTGAGTTTATTTCAAGTGCCACCTTGTTTAATTCCATTGCCATTGGCTTTAATTCAGGTGCCAGTCACTTTATTATTTGCTTAAGAAACACATGGTTTACCAATTTATAAACTGCAAAAGTCTGTATAAACATGAAGTGATTGGGAGAACTTTTCGCTCACATATACATGCTAGCGCTTATGAAAGAAGTGCAGTGTTTTTTTTTTTCGCTAATGTTTGTTGTCATTGCTTAAAAAAAACAGTGCGTATTACTGCATTTAGTGGTACTGAATGCATTTGCTCCCAGAGTTCCATGTTAGTGTATGCTTCATCGCTACTCCATTCTTCCGGATAATCATCTACAATATCGCATATGCAGAGAGTCACGCAGTCTGTTCAGCAATCGGCTTTTGGCTGATTATTCGCTGAGGCGTTCGCAGACACCTGCTCAGCCTGGTGAGAACGATGGCGACCGACAGATGATAGACATCTGTTCTTCAAATCATGAATGTTCATTTAAAACAAAATTGCATTTATACGGGTTCGGGTAGAGTTATGTTTTTTTAAGCTTCGAACGAGATACTTCCGTCTTCATACAACAGGTGACGCTAGTGTTTCTAAAGAGTGTTTGCTTGGAACACGCGTGTTTCATGTGATACTCAGGTTTTGTTTGCTTAAAAAAGATCTCAGCTAATATGAATGTAAATTATATCTTCCGTTGTCCCAATCAGGATCACGAGTTTATGTTTTATGTGTACTGCAAGTAGAAAACGTTTTCGAATAAGCTCTACTTCGCTCTACCCTGTGAAGATCTTCTAATTTCTGGATTGACCAATCACTACTCACGGCCAGGTTTTTCACATCTTGTCATGCATACCGGCACTCCAATAACCATAATTTGTCGTCAGCATTACAAGATTTGTACTGTTCATGTAATACTATACAAAGAAAAATATATATGTGAGCTTTAGTGACAGACACAAAATATTCCTTAGCATTTTCCTCCTATTTCGTTTGTTGCAACTAAAATGATTTCACCCGGGCTAAGCATTCATATACAAACTAGTACAAAGCCAAGTACCAACTCGGCGCAAGCGAACGACAGCAGTCATTTTTATTTTTCACGTATATTAGCGGTGAATACAAATATTAATTATTCGTTATACATTCCAACTAATATTTTGTTGCGACTGTAGTTTGGAAAATGCATTTCAATTGTGCTGCCATTTTTAGGCCCCATATTTTGATTTTTGCAGTAATTAAACACTACTGGCACCCCAATCAAGCCATTCACTATTGGAATTAAGATGTATCACTTGGAATAAACTCATCAGCACGCGGCCTAATCGAGTTGACGCTCCGAATTATTATGTTGGCGCTTGAAAGTAATGTTCGGCGCGTAGAATAAATAGCATGGCGCTCAGAATATTTCAATCGTGGGTGAATTATTCAGGCTGGCACTTGGGATAAAGTGATAAAAAAAACCTGTAGTTGCGAGAGTTGGCCAACATGAACACAATAAAATTTTACCCCTCTAAATAAAGCAACCTTGCTTAGTTAAACAGAACACAGAAGTAAAACAAAAATGAGCGAACTCAAAGAAAAATTCAGAATAAAAACGAGCAAGTAGTGTTCCCTGGATACGCTGTAAAAGTTTTGTCAAAATAACGGTGAATATACTAGCAGCTCTTTTTTCAAACTTATGACCGTCAACATATCGACTGGCCATCAATTTCAAATGACGACATGATTTTACATTTTGATGTGTTTCCCATCATTTCAAATTACAAGCAAACCGTCAAGTTCATCATATTTACGTCAAAATAACTAAATGTCGCCATTTGCAAATGACGGTATTCATTTATCATATCGACGTGTTTTAGTGAACGTCATACGAACTGAACTGTCTGATTGACAACCTTTGACCGTCAAAAGTTGTCAATTTTAGATGAGAGCAATCACTAATTAGATCAGTTGAGCGTCGCTTTGTCAAATAAAACTTTTATTAGACCATCATTGTAGCATTTTCTTCGTAAGCTGACAGCAGGCTCTGAATGCTTGGTCGATATTGGCTCATGAGAACAAGTGTATTTTGTGTCATAATGAATTGTAATGTAGTCTGCATCGCCATGCCACTGTCAGTAGATATGGGTAGCATTGCACAAAATATGCAACCAAAGCTTTTGTGAATACTTGCGCATTTATTCTTGGAATTATTTTGAGAAGGCTGATCACCCTTTGAGCTACTCCACTGACTCTGCCTTTACCGCAGCGTTTACTCGGGATGATCTGCCCCTCGTACCTGGGAACGAAAGTAGAATGACAAAATAAATCCATGCTCCATAAACTGTGCCAATTACATACTTGGGCTTCAGAAGTGAGACGCCGGAAATGTGTCAACTTCATTAAATTGCGTGATACAGACACTGCATTAAAAATTAAAGAACACCAGACAAATTTTGTGCAAGCAAATGTAATGGTTTTTGTCACATGCCGAAAATAGGAGAACATATAAAACAGAAAACAATAATACATTACAATATTGCAAAAATTGTGCTTTTATAAATAACGCTAAACATGCAGCTATCACAAATTTTGGCCAAGGCGAAGAATAAAGATAAAATGAGTAACCTATCAGAGTCTTGAAAGACTAGCACCTTCACATTACAAAAACATGTTATCATTATAATTGATTGAACAAGCGAAATTTTATGAATAATTTATAGTGACGCAGTTTCACTTAAGTGCTTAAAGTTTTAGGTGCCATCTAGGTAGGCAACACAAAAATCTTTTGCAAAATAATATGGCTCGTTACCTACTACTCACATTGACTTATACCTGCACAAATATTTTTTAGCATGATCGGAAATGGTTGAAAATTGATCGGGTACGCTTCATTTGAAATGACCCAATACATTTGACTTGGGCACCGAAATAGTTGGGACACTTGGCTTAAAATGACCCAGGTGCAACAAAAAATAGACATGTACCACCTGTCAGTGGACATAGCTTTACGAACAGATGTTGCAGGAAAAATGAATAGAAACCAAAGTTGGGCAGCAACAAACTATCATATGCTTCTTGAAAAAGACATCCTTACTAGGAAAAGAAATAGGAACGCAGAATGCAGTTCAAGTTTGCTGGTATAGGCACAATTTTATGAGACAAGCCAAATATTGCGTTAAATGGCACAATTTAAAGGCGAACGCCTTCGACAGAAACCTTTTTGGCTGGGTCTTTATAATTACAGTGGCTTGTGAACCTATAGATTCATATAAATGGAAAAAAACACTGAACTTTAGCATTTTGAGATAGCCTCATTCACAAATTTTAGGTGCATCCTACCTGCGATACATTAGTGAAGCAGGTTAAGACTGCATAAAGTCCTCTCATCATCTGCATATAACAAAGTTTACAGATTAAGTCAGGCCATAGAAAAACAATATTTCCGTTGAAAACATTCACGAACATGCATTGTCGCTTGAGACGCCCTTTCCACAAGCGTACTTGTCTTCTTGAAGGCAGAAGACATGTTTGCTTGTCAAAACGTTTGCTCCAGAGACACTCCACGTTCTCGAGTTTTCCATCTCTATCTTTCCGAAAAACTTTCGCCTTGAATATCAAGCTTAGCTACACAAGTCACGTTTTGAGCAAAACGCACGTTAAAGAACCCCAGGTGGTCGAAATTTCCGGAGCCCTCCACTACGGCGTCTCTCATAATCATATAGTGGTTTTGGGACGTTAAACCCTACAAATATATCAATCAATTAAGTTTTGAGCAAAAATATGTATATGACAAACTTGATGAGGTGTTGATACGACAGCTAGATGAGGTGGTGCTGGCATTCTGTACAGGCTCTCTCCAGCTGCATGCCGAGAATTCACAAGCAAAAAATTAGCTAGACTCGTTACAAAAATTGTAATAACCAGACATACCTATCTAAATTACACATCATAACCAAACTTCTAAGGGCCGCCTTGGATTGTTTAACATAAGCAGCTGATAACGCAGTTTTTATTACAAGCCTACGCACTGTTAAAGGAGAAAAAATACATGACAAAATAAAAGATAAAAAGAAGACGACGTTTCGGCTTTCATAAAGGGCTCCTTCACAATAAGGCCAAGCAACTCTGGTTTGGGTGCATGGGGAGAGTTGGCCTGGACACCAAATTTGAGGTACTAGTTATGAAGACAATTTAGAATCTCGTCTGTCTTTACAAATGAAATGCACGTGTAACCAGAAATGGTAAAACAAGTAGACTAAATAAAAACACTTGTGAGATATTGAGTACATACTTCGCTTGGCAGTGTGAAAGTTGCAGTTACGTCCATGAGCAAATATGCTTGAAGTTGACCGGTCTACACCAGAAGGTGTCTGTTGACCCTTCAGACCAGGCCTGTGAATCAAAAACGATAGAACCTATTAGCAGTCAGTGAATAATGTCTATTACACAGTTGCATGCAGTAACTTGCATACAAACTTGCAAGCACTTGACACATCTCCTAGAGTCCTCCTAAACCTACTGCGTTTTAAGTGCTTGCACATGTCGATAATGCTGCACTAAACTCTAGTTGGTCAACTTTGACGAAGTGATAACTGCTGGTTTCATAAGCAGTAACTTTTCTTTTAAATAATTCAGTCAGCCCACGCGCACGGTGGCTCTTGTACAATGTTTCTCAAAATATGCTCTCTTTTTCCCATTTTAGTCTTTTTTCCACGACGTATTTAGGCTTGTATTTGCATTTACATGCTAAGGTCACTTTCGATTGCGATTCACGAATCAGGCTAGAATTGCCCGATCGCAATGATAGCAACGTCTGCCTTTTAGGGCGGCTAGTGGTCGAGAACCAGAGTAAGAAATTTCGGAAGAGGTGGAGTTTTCAGCCACAGTACTAGACAAAAAACTATTTCTGGTTGACGTATAACTTCACGAATTCCTGGCTGTATCGTCCACAATATTTAGTTCCTCAGAAAAGTAATGATCATCATGGGCTTATAGCGCAGGTATTATAACGAACAGATAAAAAGAAAGAGCAAAAAGTGCTTACAAAATATCTTCGCCTCAATGTATTTAGTGGTACATAAGATAATAACGCGCACGACCAATCTATTCTGGTCCTTGCACCGTTAAGCACTTTCAATCGATCGAAAGTGCGCAATATGTGCAATAAACATGCACTAATGCTCCTCGTACGTTCACGTTTTCTCTTTTTTTTTCGCAGAAAGAGAACTTTTCTTTTTTATCATTAGACAAGCTGACGCCTGAAAATTGCTGCGCGTAGTTCAGCCTAGGCGCGAAAGCACTTTCAAAGGCAGCGGTGTTGGGCTGACTCCAACGGTGCGTGCACGTCGCTCAAATGCATACTGCAAGTAGAGAATTCGTACAGACGCGCTAAAAAATTCAACTCTACAACCTGCGCAAACTAGCGCTTGCTTCTTTTCAACTTGCAAACTAGGTGACGTGTTACAGCCATGGATAGCCGAAGGATGTACACAGACGATATAGGTATATGAGCATGCTCACCCTGCACCTGCATTTAGGCTGGATCGTCGAGCACAACGCGCGTTACACGGGCCCTCGGTCTTTCCAATACACCACGCAAGAAATAGGACAAATAGGCGCACCAAGCTGAAAGCATCTTCCTGACGCAAAAAAAAAAGAACGCACAAAGGTCGAAGAGAGAGGAAGGAACAGGTTGGCAATGCATGCACTGGCAACGCAAGCCGCGGCGGCGTTATTTCTATATTCGCGTGGAGGGGTGACCTGAAAGGGCGCGGGAGAGAGTGAGGTGTCACATGACGTGTGGTAGCCAACCGAAGCGCACTGGAAGCTTTTCTTCCTTTGTGGTTCTCATCCCTGCTTCTCTCCGTTCGCTAAATGACGATGGAGCACCCGTCTTTTGCGTTTGACGCCGATGACTCGTCAAAATTGATGAAGAGATGGTTGTCAAAATGACGGCCCCTTTTTACAGTGTATACAACGGTTTATTGTGCAGAATGTATATAACAGAGGCCTAGTTAGATGACTCATATTGTCACCGTTTGTCTACTGCACCACGGCAATCATTGTCAAACAAATTTATAAATAAATAATAAAGAATAAGAAACCGAAGATATCCAGCCATTGGGCATTCGTTCTGGGCCTGGAAGAATACTGCTCGCAATTATGTCGCAATGCTGACGTTTCGTGATATTGGTTCTTCTTAAGAAGAAGGTCGCTTTGTGAGAAAAAACAACGCTAGTCATCTCGTAAACACGTCGTGTGCGACAGTGCCGTGTACCTTTGATGTATTTTGCTCTCTGGTCCGGTCGTTTTACTGTTGTTCTAAAGTGTCATTGGTACTCATGAGCATCAGTTAACCTTAGCGTTAACCTCACTCGTACTTATTCATGCACTTAGGGTTACTCAAACACACAATAATTGAACATTTGCTCAATCACACTCTGTATTGTCACAGGGCCGTGACGTGAACAAAAAAGACAGACTCCATGTTCAGATGAAACTGATTATCGGCCGATGTTGTGGCCAAGAAAGAGGAGGTTAGATTATAACAACACACAGGCACTGATAGCGGTGAACTGAGTGTCGGCCGGCGATGAACTGACAAGCGTTGAAGCGCGTCTGCCTTCATACATGTGGCATCGAACAATCAATCTATTGGCCGCGTAGGTTCCAGAATAACTTGTAATAACCGCGAAGTGAGCGTAATCTTCACAAAACGATATGTTATAATTGTGAACCTTGTAGTAAAATGGGGCACAGTTTGCGCTGAACATTTAGGACAGGCTTGATGGCCAAAAACCATTTGAAACAGAATTTGAAATAAAAACGTGCACGGCAGTATATTTTTTGTAAGCTTTGTTGGCGCTCGGTCTATACATGCATCATTATTTGCCATCTGTGAGATATAACATTGTCATCATTTTATCGCAGAAACGTAGCATGAAGTTTCGTGATGACCGGGTCAAGCGCATGCTGGACTTGCTGAGCTCCATAAGGACAGTGAAGATGTATGCCTGGGAAAGCAGCCACGCGGACTTGATCGGTCGCCTCCGTGATACAGAACTAAAGGACGTGCTGAAAGTCAATCTCATCAACGGAACTGTCGATGCAATCTACAGTGCAATGAGCTCCTTGGTAAGTTCATAATAATGCACTAAATACAAATTCAGCACATACGTGTTACGACAATACCAAATAGGTGTTCCGTCATTTATAGCTAACGATTAGACCTGTTAGCCAAGCTAGCCGTGGCACTCGCCTGATTTTGCAGGAAGTATTGACATTAATGTTCTATGTCATCATCATCATCAGCCTAACTTTGTCCACTGCAGCATAAAGACTTCTCCCTTGTTTCACTATTAAACATGGTCTTGTGCTTGCTGCTGCCAATTTATACCCGCAAACTTCTTAATCTCGTCGGCCCACCTAACCTTCTGTCTCCCTCTAACCCACTTGCCTTCACTGGAAATCTAGTTAGTTGACCAGTGGTTTTCAATATCCTTAACTTCAGTTTGTTCCGCAATCCATTCTGCTCTCTTCTTGTGTCTTAAGGTTACACCTACCATTTTCTCTTCCATCACTCGCTTCGTCGTCCTCAATTTGTAAATCTCCAGGTTTCTGCTCCGCACCCTCTTTGTAAATCTCCAGGTTTCTGCTCCATAGCTAAGTACCAGCAAGGTGCAGTTGTTATATACGTTCCTCCTGAGCTATAGTGGCAATCTACCTGTGGTGATTTGAGAGTGCTTGCTAAATGTGTTGCACTCCATTCTTATTTTTCTACTTACTTCAATCTCGTGGTTCGGCTCTGCGGTTATTACCTGTCACAAGTAGACAAAGTCTTTTATGACCTTTAGTGCGCTGTTTCCTATCTCGATGCACTGCTCTCTTGCGAGTTGGTGACACATTAGTTTCGTTTTCTGCAGATTGATTTTAAGACCAACCTTTCTTCCCTCCTTGTCAAACTACGTAATCATTGCTTGCAATTCTTCCCCAAAGTTAGTCAGCAATGCAATGTCATCGGCGAAGCGCAGGCTACTAAGGTACTACCCATTACCTCTTATCCTTAACTGTTCTCACTCTAGGCTCCTGAAAACTTTCTGTAAGCAAACAGTAAACATCATTGGGGAAATTCTATCCCCCTGCCTTACACCCTTCTTGATTGGTATTCTGTTGCTTTCTTTATGAAGCACTACGGTGGCAGTTGATCCTCTGTATGATTTCTTCCAGGATGTTTATATATGCTTCGTCGGCGCCCTGATTCCGCAGTGTCTCCATGACCACTGATATATTTACTAAATCAAACGCAATCTCGTAATATATAAAGACTATGCGTAGTGATTGGGTATATTCTGAGCATTTCTCTATTACCTGATTTATAGTATAGATGTGGCGATTTTTGAAGAGCCTGTTCGAAATTCTGATTGTTCCTTTGGTTGATAGAATTGTAATGTTGTATAAAATCTGTAAGCAATTACCTTTGTAAATAGCTTGTATACTATTGAGATCAAGCTGATCAGCCTGTTTTTCAACAACTCCTTGTCATCTTCTTTCTTGTGGATTAAGATTATATTAGCATTTTCCCTAGATTCTAGGTGTGCATCCAGTATGCAGACACCTTGTAAACAGGTTGGCTGCTTTTTCTAGCACAATCTGTCCACCATCTTTCAGTAGATCTGATGTTACCTGACCTTCAGCAGCAGCTATGCCTCTTTGCATGGTCTCCAGGGCTTTTTGACTTCTATAATTACTGGTGGGGCGTCATTTTGGTTATTGCTAGTTCTATTAAAGTCGTGGTTGTCCTGGGTACTGTACAAATCTTGGTAACACACTTCCATTATTTCAAGCAATCTTATTCATAATGGTTGTTATATTGCCTCTCTTGGCCGTTAGTGCATACATCCAGTTTTTGCCTATTCCAAGTTTCCTCTTCTTTCCTTTGGCGCTTCTTTCGTTCTTCAGAAAGTGTTCAATTCTCTCCATGTTTTACTCTCTCACATCGGATACCTCACCCTTATTAATCAACTTTGAAAAGTCTACCTACTCTACTTTGTCTCTTGTACTTAAGGCTTTTATGCTTGGACGCTTCTTAATGAGATTCTTAGTTTCTTGAGGACAGCTGGCCACTGCCCTATCTAACTGCCCTGTCTGACGAGTATAATTATGGAGTGTGCTGTGGAAGTTGGAGGGACGGTAGTTATAATGTTCAATGTACTTATAAGATATAGAACAGACTCCTCAGTCATCAACGCACTGACAACGACGCTGCAATGAAATCTTCAAAACACACTGCCATCTAAATGAAGCCCTGAAGAAGACTTTGCCGCTGGAAGACCTGACAGCGTCCCGCAGCAGCAGTGCAACACCTTCACGTCTGGCAGTGCTGCAGTGCATCACAGGCTCTTGCGCAGACTTGTAATACGTAGGCAAACTTCCTCACAGGAGCCCATCGAGCAAATCGGGTGTGACACTGTCCCAATGGCGCATCTCAAGCAGCAAAGAAGTGCACACATTGTAGAACATGTCGAATGGTGTCATTAAGCAGGCAGTATGCTGAGTGTATCGCCCACTCACCTATTAACGCAACCACTTTATGCATAAGCACGTCGCCAGAACTTATCTTTTATTGCGGACAACCACTGAAGAAGTGAGCGTTTGGCGCAGTTATGCGAACCTGCGCCAGTACTTTACAAATAAACGAAATACGTATAACATATTTGTATTGCGTTTACAATTTCAATATACATGTGCCTATAACTGAATTATGTTTTCTGCTTATTACTTCTTGAGTCAACAATGAGAAGAGAGAACAACTGGGTGATTTTGTAGTGTATGATCCCCTGTAAAAGGCTTAGAAAAGACGACAGATGAAAAAAGAGACAAGTGGGCAGGGCGCCGGTTCTAATAAGCTTTACTCTAAAGAATTAGGAGACGTACTTACGCAGTCAGCGTTGTCACGTTTTTTAGTTGCACAATAATTTCAGATATTGCAACTTTTTCTGCGATAAAGAACAGGTGGTCACAACCACGCAAAGGTTACTTTCTTCAATAGCTTTTGTTGGCTTTGGGAACCAACAAAGTTACAACCTAGCATCAGCTATTGAAAACCAGCACCAACGGAGCAGCAGCCCAGAACCCACCTCATCTAGTGAAGGCCTAGAAAGAAGCTAAAAGTAACCATATTAGTTTCTATACACGTCATGTTCTGATGTTCCGAGCCTTGCATGTCTTAGCACAAGCTGCTTAGATTCCACTCAACTATTATCAGTGAAAGAGGCTTTTTGCAAGAGTAGGTCAACGAGTATCTTCTAAAGCAATCTATACGTCTTTCTAAGAAAGATGGAATTGCGGCGCAGAAGGTAACAGGGATTGCGAAACAGGTTTTCTGCAGACAGTCATGCGCAAGGTAGCCCATATGTTATTACAGAGCATGAAATATGCTCAGCAACCCCAAGACACACATCTAAACCCGTAGTCATCTCTTACATACATAAAATATTCTAGAGTTTAAAGAATGTGGCTCATCGCATAGTTGTGAAAGTGAATTTCTTGGCTCTGAATAAACCTAGTAATGCATGTGTCAAAATACACTGGACAATAGCAGCCAAATCGGAGTGCCTAGAAAACAAAAAAAAATTGCCAGGGCAACCATAGCTCACCTTTCGTTCAATGTTTAACAGGAGTTGTCTACCTGATTCCTGCTGTCGTGCGACCATGTATACGTGAGCCAGACCAGCCATTGTTTAAATCAGAAGGGGCAATTG